TGACAAGCAAGTGAGTCAAAAGCACGCAAAAGAGTAGAGAGCATAATAAAGAGGTCTACATCGATAAACTGATACATCTCTGCCTTGGGAGGTGTTTGGAAAAACAATTACATGGGCATTACAAATCACTAAGGTTAGGCTACAGAAAGCCATTGCAGCGAGGTAGCCCAAACACCGTACGAACGTCCTGATAGCCTGATAATAACGCTTCTTTTTCAAAAGACCGATCCGTTTTTCAAAGGGCAAATATATCTTTCAAAAGTAGTTGTTAAAAACAATAATAACAAAACCAGCTCCCACTGGCAACTTGTGAACAATAAGTGATGTAATTTGACAATGTGTTCTTGATTTGGTTTACTTTAGAGTAAATCCCATTAAGAAATTATTACGAGATCGTTTAAATAAAAGAGATAGATAAATTGCTAAACAAGTACCACTATTGACAGAATTAAACGATTTCACTTAGGTCAAGTATCTGACAAGCGTATATGTAGTAATTTATCCTCCGTTTTTTGTCATTGTTAACGCGAAGACTTGTAACACATTTGCATCTAGAGCACATTTAACCATTGGGTGTCGCATGTTTTTACTTGTCGCCCATTCGTTCGGAGTCCATTTCGCTTCAAGGTCAGAATGCCTCCAGGCTTCTGTGTGATGCATTCACACAAGGTGACGAATTAGCTTGTTTGCGGGGTGTATTAAGTGGGTTGTCTAGAAATCACAGCTCCGCATTACAGGATCTGTTTCAAAATAGAGTGGTGTTATCCAAGTTTCTTTGTGATGCGTGCAAACTTGTTAGGCGTCTGATCTAACAGGTCGTTTAGGTTTTTGGCTGTCACTCCCACTTATTTTTATCACCAAACCATTTGTGTCATTTTGTGAGGGAGATTGTGGAGTCCCAACATACTGATTCCAATCCTACTTACATATTATGTCAATTGGTATAAGCACACCTAATAGTACAAATGATAAGAACCAGGTTCGACAAAATTTTTGGTGCATTTACCCTTAAAAAACAGCAAATAACTTGGTGACGAATAAGTGTTAAAGTAAAGAAGCGTAGTAATCTTTCGGGAAGAACTGCTTATTTGTGAATAAGACACAGTAGCTAAATTTTACTGCCACAAGAAGATATATTTTGCTTTAACTGCTCACATCTTGCAGATTACCCAGGGTGCCTAACTCAACCGAAGCTGTAAAGTGCTTTGGATATTATAACTGTCAATATTTTAGAAGCGATCGCATTATTCCTAACTTCACTAAAAGCGATGCTGAAAAAGGCGTTTTTTGACGAAAAGGCTATTAGACTCGGTGATAATGATTCGATTTACCTTCGATCAGTAGGGAACTTGTCAGTCTGCAACTCCACATTTTAACTATTTCATGTTTTTAAAATCGCAACTTCATTATTGTCTGTCAAAATTACTAAACTTATGACAAAATTGTCATATCAGTATGTCTATATGGTAGTTGTACCAACTAGAAATAAAATAACGTTCAGATTTATGAATTTTCACTACAGCCTCAGTATCATAATTAACAACTGATTTCTTTGCTGAATTATGGTTTTTTGACAATTAAGAGGATGACTTACAGGTAATAAAGATGACTTACGTACATTGGGATCTATTATCAATGAAACACGCCAACAAGTAGGGAGCGATTTGCATATCCCTTCTACCTTTCCACAGAGCAGGAGTGAGCCTTACCAACTCAGTGAACTTATGTTACTCTTAGCCAGACTAACATACATCCTTCCGAGTTCATTCGTAGCTGAATTGGGGGACCATTAAGCAGTCCTTAAGATGTTGTTTACATCCCTATGCTTGGTGTGAGTCCACGCACTCTGGACATCATTAAGTGCTACCTTTTAAGAAACCAAAAGTGAGATTTTAGAATTTGGACTTCTCTTCCTTATCTGTGACCTTAAGACCGATAAAAGCTCAAGATAATATCAAGGAATTTACACTTTAAAGGAGGTAGTTTAACGAAAAATACAACGAAAACTTGTTAGTATTTCGTATGCCAATTTTTAAGTGCATTTTAAACCCAAACCTAATTCATCATTATGGTTGAAATTCAGAGGTGAAAAACTAGGGGTTTTATAGTGAAGCAATTTTTGAATACCACTTTGATCCATAGTTATTCAGAAGTGATGAGAAATCCCCATAGCAGCAAAGAGGCAAGAAGTCAGTTTAGTTTATTTCCGATGATGCAAGTTATAGAAACCATGCGGTGGATTGTTGCTAGTTAGAAACTAAACACCAATTTTCCTTACTATTACCTAACGTCCAACCTTGAAAGATTACAAAAAAACATTGAATTTGTTAATAACAAAGAGGCTGTCAATATATTTCTCTGAGCTGTTTCCCCTCCGCGCGATTGTCACGATGGAATTCTAAAGCGTTGTACTGTAAGGTAACGAATAGGTACAAATCCACGAGACCTCATAGGGGCTGAGAACTTACTGCAGCATGTTTATTTGCATCTAAGTTACGTAAATTAATACAACGCTTATTTACAATCAAAATAAATAAAATAGTAGC